TTGACTCATGTTTCCTTTTTTTCTTTTTGTTTTGTTACTTTCCCTGTTCGTCATAGCTGAATGGGAAGGAGGAGAGGTGATCGGTGAGAAAGTATGTGTGGTCTCTCTTTTCCAGTTCCTTGGATGTATATATCAGACATCTTATACTGAAAATGTTAAACTTCGTGCAGGCGGCATCATCATGGCTTTATGTAGTTCCTTGGGGAATTCGGAAAGTTCTTAATTACATTGCAGAGAGATATGACAATCCACCAGTGTATATCACTGAGAATGGTAATGCCTTCTGCTTTTCACGGGTGTAGTACTAAGGTTTTTGTTGGTCTCTTTGCTTGAAATTCGGAGGTCGTCCAACTTGTCTAACTTAAGACAATGCCTACTCTATATATATGTGTATGTGTTCTCGATCCCGTAATTATTACTATCATTTAAGTTTTTTCATAAAATGTTTGGGAAAAAAATCATGTTTATACTACTTTTGCCTATATGTGAAAAAATGTTTCACTTAGAAATTTCCATTCGCTTAAAATTGGAAGTTCTTTTGAAGGAAAATGATTTATTAGAAAATATGACAATTATCTCCATTCTAGTGGTTTTGGCACTCTGCATAATCCTTCCTTGCTTGCATACATGATGAACTTGAGTATGATTTTCTGCTGAATGCAGCGCTTTAGATTATGCTAAGAGCACTTTCGTTGTCATTCTTGTTTTGGGGAAGCAATGGTCCCTGTTTGGACAATCCGAATGTCTATGGCCTAACCTGCAACAACGATTTGCTATGAGGTCAAAACTGTGAACTGAAATAAATTGTTGTTCTCTTTGACACTCGATAGCTTTTGACCATGTCTCAAGAATGAAGGCCTGAAAGCACCTTGTAAACAGGAAGAGCTTCTATTTGAGCTTCCCTGATAAACTAATTTTCCAACTGTTGAAGTAACCGTGTGACATGAATTAAGTTAAAGATACTTTCATTTTCGACTTATTACTAACAATTTGATGAACACCTATAATTATTTGTACCAAGTGATAACCCAATTCAGTTTTTTTCTCTTGTAACTTCACTTTTCATGTTTAGGTATGGATGATGAAGATGATGATGTATCTCCTCTCCATGAGATGTTGGATGATAAATTAAGAGTTTCTTACTTCAAGGCGTACCTTGCTGCTATTCATCAGGCAATCTTGTGCGTACTCTCAAAAACCTGTTTTTCATAGCCCTCGTGTTATAAGCATGTATTGGCATCAACATGCATAACAATTATCGTTGATTCCTGTCAGATCTTAGTAGCTCATTCTTCTGCATATTATCTTGGCTGCATTCATTCAAACTTCTATTTGTCAATTTAAATTGTAGGAATAACTTGCCTCTTGAAATATTCTAGTTCATTCCCCATTCAGTTTTAGAATTTTAGATATTGATAGGAAAGCTTCACCAAATATGAGATCTTCTTTTGTTTGATAACCGTGGTGCCTGCCACCTCCTACCAGCACCAGGTACCAAATAACACCATCCACCAATGCCAGAATAAATGGGAAGAAATCACCTAGTGTTTTGTTCTCTGTTGGGATTTAAACCCGAGACCTCAGGATGCTCAACCCACTTGAACGGTTGAACCTGTGATCTCCTACTCTTGTCTCATCTTAAACTCTTGTTTCCGGAAACAGTTGGCGTCCCCTGTTCTTCGGGGTGTCGAAAGTAAAAAGTAGTTATGCATGATACTTTTAGCACAACAAATGACTGGTATAACATACAAGGAGGGCTCAAACTTTTTATGCATGATATTTTTGCATTTACATCATAAATTCATGAACATTTGTCAATATCTGCTGGCTGCATGATTCCACTATTACGGGATCAATCAAATGTTGTGTTTTTTATTACCATTTGACTGGATGGCGATGCCTTTGCCTACACTCTATACATATTAACGGAGACCTACATTTGTCTCGATAGGGATGGTGCTAATGTAAGGGGTTATTTTGCGTGGTCATTGCTGGATAACTTTGAATGGAATCTTGGTTATACAAAACGCTTCGGTCTGACATATGTGGACTTCAAGAATGGGCTAACCCGGCATCTGAAATCTTCTGCTTACTGGTTCATGAGATTCTTAAAAGGCGGACAAGTAAAACATGGGAAAGAAGATTAACCAATATCTTGTGTTGTGAAGTTAGCAGCTTATATTTTCATCTTTTCTTTTTCTAGTGACTCTTTGTATACTGCTTTTAAGGCTTTTTACATGGAAAACTTTTTTATCTTTCTTGTATGATAGGTGTAATCATGACTTTTCTTGTTTGGCTCAAGGTGCCTGGTATATGGAGTCTGTGAACTCACTGTCAAACAGATTTAACTTGTATGGATCAACAATCCTAAGAAATTACAAGTTTCTTGAGATAAGTCTACGCGTTTCTGCTCAGTATGTCGTTTAATAAGTTTTGGATAAAGTGTAGCATTCAAGGGCTAACTCTACGTTTGATCGACGATGAGTAGAGCTGTCAAAATGGGCTGGCCCAACCCAACCCAACCCTAACAGGCTAGAGAGTTAAATGGGTTGGGACGGGCTGACCCTTTTAATTGAAGGGCCTATAAAATAGCAGCCCTAAGCGGGCCACGGGTTGGGACGGGTTGGCCCTTCAACCAAAAAATGGATAACATTTTCCTCTTAGAAAGAATATGAACGCTGATGAATTACACATACTTCAGTGAATATTTACAAACAAATACATAATAGCCAAGATACAACATTCATAAGTTTCATCCGAGCAAAAAACATTACATGATCACTATTTTCATAAACAAGACAATAAAGGAGAAGTGAAAAATTAGGCATAAAAACAAAAGTAAAAGAGGTCAAAGATTCTTAGTTATAATGGAGTAATGAACTTGGGCTAATAAGAAAATTTAGTGGGCTAATGACCCTAAAATGTAAAAAATATGTAAAAAATATAATATTGATTTTATATTGGTATTTTAAAATTATTTATTGACAAATCTTAACAAGTAAAACACTACTTAAAATATATATAATAAATATTTTTAAAATTCACAGCCCGCGAGCTGGCCTCTGAGGCTTGTGGGTTGGGTCAACGAGGCTAGCGGGCCAAATGAGGCTGGACTAAAAAGCCTCGTTCCTAAATGAGCTGAAAAAATTGAGCCCAACCTCATTTAATTCAAGGGTTGGGTTGGGCCGGCCTAGCGGGCCAAGCCCATTTTGACAGCTCTAACGATGAGGATCTTTCCCTTTCAATTAGTTTCTGATTGATGTAATTATGTGTAATGTTTTTCTCTGTCAATACCTATGAACTTGTATGGACTGTGACTGAAAAAACAAGCCTTTTCACAGGTTACTTCTTTGCCAGGCTAAGGCACATGTACATCAACTGTAAATTTTTCAATGAAATAAAATCACCATTCATACCACATGTAAATTTTATCCTATTTATAGTTAGCCATTGTACATTAAGCTAATCACGATTGAAATACAACAACAAACTCATTGAAATCCCAATAAGTGGGGTCTGAGTATCTTATCACCAACAATAAAATAGAAGAGAGAGCAAAAATAACAATAATTACTAGAAGAGAGCAAAAACAACAATAAAATAATGTGATGTACAATTAACAATACACTATAATAAATTATTGAAAACAATAATAAATAACAAGTAATGGTTCTTCCTTTGTTTTAGGTAGCTAGGAGATCATAACGACAAACAAGACAAAAATGATCTTGTAAGTATTTTAAGTAAAACAAAGAAATAGAAGTGAAAGTGCTCCTAGCAGATGAAAAATACAACTTGGAATTCCAACTCCACAATAACTTTGGCCAAAATTAAATTAAATCTATCCATTTCCTTTTTGATGCATCAATCGAAAACTTATCCAATAAAAAATGTCTAGAAAGAAGCTAATATTTTAATAAAGGGTAAAATGACAAATATATCCCGAATTATCGTAAATGATATGCAGATATCCTTCGTCATGCTTTTGGGACATTGGTGCCCCTGCCGTCCAAAAACTAGAGCATATATGCCCTTAACTCTAACGGAAGACTAAATAGGGACACGTGGCACAATCTTATCCGTTGATCCGATATTTAATAAATGTCGTGTCGGTGGATAAGATTATGACACGTGTATGTTCGTTAGTATAAAGGGTATATATGCTCTAGTTTTTGAACGGTAGGGGCACCAGAATCCCAAAAGTATGACAAAGGTAATCAACGTACCAGTTACGATAGTTCAGGAGTATATTCATCATTTTTCCCTTTAATAAAATATGTTAAATCTAAATGCATACACAAAATTAAAAGATAGTAAACATGTAAGTTTAAATAGTAATATTATTATTATTATTATTATTATTTATAAAAGTATAAATTAATTCTACTTAATAAGATGTGAACCATTTGTTTATAATACATTATATTGGATGCTATCATAAAAAACTTTATTTATTAATATAAATACTTAAGTTGTTTAATCCAAATTTCTAATATATTTTTGGTAATTAAAGTGTGTGAAAATTAAACAAAAATATATTTAAGTCATGCACATGAACAATATAATTTTTTTAAGAACAAAAATCAGTTTTGAAAAAAAAAATACTATTAAAGCTGCAGCCCCGCCCCGCATTAATTCTGAAAAAAATATTTCTGATCAAATTCAAACATTGTTTTTTAATTATTATTATAAACTTTGTTTAGTTTTATTTATTGCAGATTTCAATTAATGCAATTCCAAACCATCATATTTTTGTTGGAACAGATTAATATTGATGAACATAAATAATCTTTATTGTTCTTTTATTGTTTCTAAAAGATGATCTGAATTTATTTCAAGAGTGAAGGAAAATTAATTACACATTTATTTGTCATCTCCAATTTTAAAACGTTACTATATGTTGCTTCATTAATTCATTTATTTTTTTTATTATACAAAAATATACTTATAAATTAACCATTATATTTCTTCTCCATTCTTATATTTTTCAATAACAAAAAATGGCAATTATATTGATGAGAGTTATAGAGATTGTTGCAATTGCAATGGTAATTTCCTTGTTTACACCAATAACATTAGCCATTCGAGAAGAAGATTATTATAATCGCAACCACGGTGAAAATTTAGATGATTTAGATTTATATGATTCTTCTTTGTATTATACATTTCCTAATGAATATTATAATCATAATGAAGCATCGGCACCTGAGCCGTATCCTGGACAAGTGGAGGAATGTTTGCAAAACATATCGGATGATTGTGGAATAATCATATTTAACAGAATTTTGGATAGTGGAAAGTATAGTGATGTGGAAGAGTGTTGCGCTCAACTTCTCGCACTGGGAATAAAATGTCATAATGCAATTATGGAATCTACTCTTCTCAGTCCTGAGATGAAAGGAGTGAATACAACTGAAATTTGGAAAAATAGTGATAAACTTTGGGAAGAATGTACTTCTATTTCGCCGTCTAGTTAATTTTATATCTATCAAGTTTATCAATAGCTCGATATGTTGATGCTTTCGAATAAATTAAATTGTTAGAATTATAATGTGTAGTACATACCGATATGTGGATTGGCAAGATTGTGTTGTTCACAATTAGAGATGACAAAATAGCCTATGAAATCATAATCCGATTAAGTTTTACTTTGACTCGTTTATTTATTAATTCAACTCATCAAAATTTGGATTAATATTTAGCCCAAATTAATCTATGATAAATCTTGTTCCTAAACTAAAAATATACCAAGTAAGTCTCATCAAAATTTAAATTGTGCAACACAAAAAAACTATCACAGACATTAAAGATTGTTATTCCAAACATATACTAGTTAATTAGTTAATATATTTATAGTTTGCCTTAATTACAATTCGCGACCTACTTTTAGCTATAATTACGCGGCTCAGCTTTTTAGTTTTGTATAATTCGCACGTTTGTATAATTGGGAATTTGTATAATATAATTTGTATAACTGTTTACGCTTCTGATGTTTGTAATTGTATAAATTCATTATTTCGAGTTTATAATCAATCAGAAAATGAACCGGTGTGAAGTTATACAAATGTACTGCGAATTATACAAATCCGCGAATTATACAAACGAGACAGCTCAAACTGTAGCTACAACCCGTAAATATGCAATAAATAGCTATGGAGCATAATTAAGTTTATTATAGTGACTATTTGCGAAAGTTCCCAAAATAATATTATAATCTCTGAATAATTAATCTTGAAATAAATTATTTCGTAATTTTATCTCAACCAAACATAGAATGAACTTATTCCAAAAATTAATTATCTCTCATACTTTTTGTGTAAAATATTTTACAATTTGAACAGGTATTTCTGCTCCTATTCGAAGCGCATGATTTTCAGTTCCAGAAAATTTTCATCAGCCCAGTAAGTATATATATATACTAAAAACTCCAAATTAGATGAATTTTTTTAAGCAAATGGTGTTTATGCAGGTTTTAACTTTGATAATCTGATAAAATTTGCGATTTGTTTAATAATTGGCTTTGTTTTGATGCCTTTTATGGTGTATTTGATGTGGGCAATCACTGTAACTGTTTGTTATTGCTGCTTTCACTTTTCCCATTTTCTACTGTGGTGTATAGAACCCCATGATTTTCAATTGCAGAAGTTTTTAGTATAATTATTGTTCTTATATTGTTTTTTCATTACCAACTTGATGTAAAGTTGGAGCTAGGGTTTGAAGGTTATGGGTTCAGGATTCTAGTTTTTTTTTTTTATGACCGTGGTGTCTGGGTCAGCTTTCACGCAGCTTGACTAATTCCACGGATAGGTGCCAGTATCAGGTACTAGGTAACTTTGCTCACCAAGATTAGGACAGATAAGAAGAATTACCTAGTGTTTTTTGTCTCCGCGGGAGGGTTTGGGATTCTAGTTCTTTTAAGTTAGTGAGTTCTATATTAATAATTTGTACATATTCAATAGATTTCTTAAGAAAGTTTGGACTAAAGCTATTGGGTTCGGGTTGACGTGTAAGTTATACCCTAGATCTTTCCCTGATTGCTGAAATAGGTGATTGGGATTAGTGCTGATTCCTAACATATTATGGCAGTACTAAAAAACTCTCAAGCTGAAATCTTTAAGCTGATTTTTTATATGTAAGTTTCAACCTCTGATGCTCTGATAAATTTTACTTGTTTTTAATAATTGGCATTTTTTCCTTTTTCTGGTGTATTTGATTTGCAGCAGATAAATACATTGGTTGTATAAGTGTGTGATTCTGATGGGGCATCATGAGACGAATTCTTCCAGTAGTAGGGACAGGTCTCCCTCTAAACAGAGGCACAGGCATCGGTCTAAGGAGAGGGTTTTGGATAGAGAATTGTCATCTGAAAAAAGAGAACGAAGGTCAGGAAGAGATGTAATTGAGCATAGGTCTCCTAGGCAAAGACATGATTACTCCTATTCGGCTTCAGATCATCAAAGAATGGCTCATCACAGACCCAGTTCAAATTTTAGTGTTGACACAGAAAGACAAAATGAGGTGCTTCATTATGAATAATACCTTTTCACAGTGGAGTATTATTTTTTTTTAACTTGCTGTTTCCTATTATGCTATCGGACAATATTAGAGAATTGTTAATAGATTGATTAGACTAAAGTTTGGCATAGGCTGCCATATCGTGGAGTTTGAGAATTGAAGATCTAAGGCGTTGAATAATTAAGTAGAAGATGGAAATTGTAAGAAGCTGATTATTAAGAAAATTAAGTGCGTTGAAAGAAGATAACAGTATGAATCTCATTTATATTATTTGAGACAACCTAATTGAACTTGGCCTCAGACACACCCAAAAAGAAGATGGTCTTTGGGGATGACATCTGCAAATAGATAACAAGCATTAGGAAGGAATTGACGGATGTTGGAGCTTGCGTTGCCTTGAAATTGCTACCTTGCAAACAAGAGAATATAAGAAACTTGACTAATGTGTCGGTGAGAGTGCTAGAAGAAAGTGAAAACTGGATATCTCTAAAATCTGAAAGAGGAGTCAGATGAGAACGATGGGGGAAGGAATAGTAGACAGCGATTTACAACGGTGAAATAAGATAGAAAGTTATAATACCTTAGTAAGTGATTGAATAGCCATCTTTTCTTTTTTTAAATTGTTGAATGTCCCATCTTTTCTTGAACCTTGTAACCAACAGTTGTTCGCTTCCTTTGCTTGTTCTTGAAGTCATAAAAATGAAACGGATGTCGGAATCCTAGCATATTGTTCTTTCAATTTTAGCTGGAAAATGTTGTACTTCCAAAAGCGTTTTGTATATTTTTCCTCTTTCACGCTGGAAAAATAACCTAATTACTATTCCATCTTTATCTCAGGTGTTCGACCCAACTGATTCTGAAAACCGGTAAACCTCTGATGGAGCTTTGGTTCTTTAAGTCTTCTTGTCAGCACATGTCCATAAACTTCCTTTCCTTTTTCATACCTAGTCATCAGGCTGAGAATCAGGAAATCTCTTTGGCAAGAATAAATGAAGCATGATCATACTTAGAATATGGCATGAAGTTATCAAGGTTTTTTGTCTCTTCAGTAGAGGGATAGCTCCAATTAGCTGAAAGCAGTACCTTAATTTCATTGACTGCCAAATCTAATGATAGGCAGCTTTTACATCTTCTTTCAGATATTTGCCTTTCATTGAACAACCACCTATTTCTTAACCTGAGAAGAAGGAAATTGCAACAACTCCATTGCAGTTATTATCTCAAGGAAGCGTATCTGTCGAGTTTCTGTTGTGACTATTTCTAATGCATAAATTCTTCCATTATTGCTGATCCTCTACTGTATCATTATGTTATGATGAACAAAGGAGCACATGTTCCTTCAAATAAGAAAAGAAAGGAAAGTGCAACAGAGTAGACCTGTAGTCATGCAAAATAGGCAGGTTTTATCTTTCTATGCAATGCCCATAACTATAAGTGATGACATCTCTTGGAGACTGCTTACTGTTCTCTGGATGCCTGAGTGGATTATCAATTGTTTTCAAACTTATTCAGTGTGTGTGAGAATGGCTACATCTACCTTTTGAATGTGCAACAAGTATCCCTTTTTTTTATCAGCATATATGAGCACCTTTACCAATTTTTTGAGTCACTCATTACTTGCCTAAGCAGGAAGGACAGCGATGTTAGCATGGCTAAAACGAAGGCAGATGAAAAGGACCTGGAAGCTAAAGAGGAGGTATAATGATTTTACCATTGTTATGATGCTTATTTTCAATAAAGTCTTACCCTTCTGTTGGGTCTAGAAAGTTGCAGCACAGTTTGATTTCTTTTTGCCATTTCAGCTGTTTAGATTTTTAAATTTAGCTTTCTGCGAGGTGGATTATATGCTCCTATGTTGTCCCTAAACTTCATATACTAAGTTGCTTAAATCACTGTTATGCAGCAAATGGCATTGTTAGAGATGTCCGGAGATCTTACTACAGAATCTAAACAACTCACAGGTAGTAACTGCATTTCCTTTTAGCTTCATATTCCAAAGAATTCTTCACTTTCCTCAGGGTTTCCTATTCTTGTACAGTTCTCTTTCTTAAATAAAAAAAGTTGCGTCTATATACACATTTTGTATACTTATGCACACAGACACAGTAACACACATATCTATCTATATATATATATATTTATTTATTTGTTTCTTTTGGGAGGGCTAGGAAGAGGAAACTGAGTTGCAAAGTCCAAGAACCTATCACTGACAGAGAATTATAAATTACTATTCATTTCTTTAGAAAATTTCTGAAATGCTTAATTCTCAAATACTGTCCCATAAGAATCTTGGCCAAAAAAGGAAGTAAATAAATTTGTAAGAAAGTATTCATTTTTATTTTGTAAAAGCATTAGGAGGCAGGGGATACTAAATATTTTTTGTGATTTTTTTTTTTTTTTTTGGGATATTGCCCCATAGGTTCATGTTTGTTCTAACGATCAGAGATATTTTGCTTAGATATCATGAGACTACGGTCTTTCGTTGTGGCTTTGCCCATCACTTCTTTTAGATCATCATATTTTACTTTCTTTTATGTTCTTAACAAGTTTCAACTATAAGAAAGGAGATCAATTTTGATGAAGAAAAGATGTTTATAGGAGGCCAGTTCTAGTGAGCGGTCTATGTTTGGCTGCACATACCTATTCGACACCCAATAGTTGCTTAACCGAAGCTTGAACTAATGTCAATATTTCTTTCTATTTTTTTTTGTTTCAGGAGGTTTCCGAGATGGATTAGTACACTTCCCTAGTCCATCGTGAAATGAATTCGCATGAGAAATCTCTTTTTCTCTGTTCAATATATATATATATATATATATATATTAACTCCCCTCTCTCCCACACAAACATATGTGTGCGTGCACAGAACCAAATGGTTTCTCTGTACTTGTGATGGGCATAATACAAGCCATATGATAAAGCTACCTGGGTTATATTCTGTTTGATGCTTGGAAGATATTAGGTGAGAATTACGAGGGTGAAGTACAGAGGGAGTACTAGGTAGAGTAGAGGTGTATGGACTTTTTCTGCTCTCTCTTAGCTCCCATAGTAACTTATAGAAGTTTCTAGATGGACTTGCATTCTCTAGTTTTTGTCCATGCTGGTGTATGCCTATTGACTCTTATAGGATATTGGCTGATCCAAACATATCTTTACCAGCAGAGGGAAGAAAGGAGGAAACCAACATTTCACTGGAATATAGTAGCGACATGAAGAAGGCAAGACTCCATTCAACACTGGTTGCTCTCCTCAACGATCCTGTGCTTGCTGATATACCAAAAAACCCAACTCTGACGGATGTGGACACCCTTATCAGCTTGGAACTTGGGAGTGCCATGCGTATCTCTGTCCTCAAATTGGATGGCAGCTCCTTTGGTACTTACGTCTCAGTGTTCTTAGTTGCAAACTTCGTTCCTGGTTTTAATGAACAAGAATAAACAATTACATCCATTAATTTTCTTCCTTTCAATGAAGATGTGACAGTGATGAATTCCGCAACAGTTAAAGACTTGAAACAAGCTGTTCGGAAAAGGATTGATGACACCGAGCAATCTAAGATGGGGCATCGGCACATCTCTTGGTATGTTGCTTGAAATGCTACAGGACTATTGTGACTTTGTGCTCTTAGAGTTAGCTCATGGTTTCCTTTCATCATAGCCTTCTTTTGGATACGTGAGAATTTTAACTCTTCGTAACCGAAAAGTGAAATGTTGAAACTCGAAAGCCAAAATATAATTGTTGGCACTTACTGTAAGAGGGTAAATATGTTCAGTTGTCAGAAGCAAAAAGAAGAGTGTAAAAGTTGAAACAGCAATAGATTAAGGGAGAGGTCGAAATTTGCTAAATCAGCAATTTGTCAGGAAGATTAGATTGAAGGTAGCCTCAGAAATCAGAATGATGATATGGTGCTGCTCAAAAAATGAATTTGTTGGCACACGAAAAATGTCATTGCATCTCTTTAACTCACTTGACATTCAAGTGTATGCTAGCCAAAACTTTGATTGAACTTTTAGTCTGTATAAGTTAAACTATAGTTTTAACAATAATTACCTTGAGTCTAATGGTTGGCATGGAGTCTTCGGGTAGCACCACTAGATCTTGTACAAGGTGGTCACTTGAACTATAGCTTGATGATACTCATATTGAGCTTGTAAACTGCTATCATTTATTCTCTTCCCGCTTTTGTTAGCTTGAATGTGTATTTCTGTTGATATGCAGGAGGCATGTCTGGTCAAATTTTTGCCTTTTATTCCACAATGAGAAGTTACTAGATGATACTGCTAAACTTCAGGACTACGGCATTAGGAACAATGCTCAGGTACTTTACTTTGATGCTCACATTCATATCGCTATTGCATTACCAAAGTAGTCTGTTGCCGCCAGGGATTTGGTCTAGTAGTAAGAGAACGTCGTGCGATGTATGGGGTAGGCACATATTACAGGCTTGAACCCTGCTTCAGATCAATGCCTTGTATTTGAGTGGAGAAGGATAGAGGGACATGTCCATTATCTACTGGTTTTGTATGATATGCCACTGACCCTCGGGGATTTCTTCGTGATCAAAGGGAATACATATTTTAGTAGTCTGATCATAACATCCAGCTTAATATTCTTAAATGATCAAGTTGAAGAAATAACTCTTTATTGAAAACTACAGTTTAGTATAAAACCTAAAAGAGGAACTAGATTACTCATTTTCTTAAAGAGATGTTGAATTTTGAGGGTTTTATTGCTTGTCCTGCAGATCATTGTGATTTCTTGTGCTGTAGATTGATTGTAGCAGTTGGCCTTTTGTTCTATATATTGTACTGACTTTATATTTGAGTTTCGTAATTCCTGATATATTCTATGTTTAAGGGTCTTCCTTTTCTGTCTTCAAAAGTAGTACAAGATCATATCAAATGGTTAGACTGGAGATGTGGCTCTTCCTCCAAAAGAGCATTATGTTAAACTTTTTGAATATAGGCTTTCTTAAGTAGTTGAAAGTTGGAACTCCGTTTTATGTTGGGCAACTGTAAGGTCTCATATGATTCTTGACCTTTTCTCGTCTAACTCAAGAAGTTTGGCAGGTGCAATTCATTCCCTATGTTATCTCGAGGGCCTTTAAGAGGCATTCAAAGAGGAGAAAACATAGATTCTTTCATGGACTAAGCAAAAAGGGTCGTACAACAGACTGAATCAGGGATTATATTGCTGCATACATAAACTACAGAACCATGGTTGTAATAGCAAATGTGTTGCAAAGTTGAGGATGAGAAAACCAAGCCTAGGCGCCTTTTGCTTTCCCTATCACATTATGTTAAATACTCAACTACCTAGCTTCGAGTTGAGCTTAATGTAGTGAAATGGCTAACATACATTCATATAGCCAATCTCTACTCGTTGGTGTTGAGGTGTATTTGTTGCCATTGTTCAACTGTCTAGTTTTTTACTTATAGCTAGGAGAACTACCCAAGAAAGGGTTTGGGAGTTGATGTAACACTTTAACAGAAAGTTACTTTTTTCCAAACTTGGCCTTAACTATTGTAAACATCTATATGAACAAATCATTAGATCTAAATAAATGTATAATCAGTGTCTATTTGATCATCAACTTAGTACTAGAAGGGATAAAACTTTGTACACCTCACTCACTCACAGAATTACACTACCCTCCCTACACCTCACTCGTAGAATTACACTGATATGCTGTTCTCTTATAGTTCAAAACCTCATAAAACTTGAGACCCAGATGTTTGAAATTTGATATTAAAACGACACAACTTTAAAAACTCTGTGAACTTCGATTATTCAGTTAAAAAGGGCTAGTTGTATGTTTGCCCTAAGAATGATGTTCTTAATGGGACAATTCTGGATCTCTTCTCTCCAGGTCAGTTCATCGAGTTTCAGGGCACAAGTTATGATGACAACTTGCAGAATAATCGAACTCTCTATGGTATCGGAAACCTAAATAAATATTAAAAGCATATAATTTTCTTTATTACGAAAATAAAGAAGTGAAAATTAGAACAGAAGCATGGCCACATATTATACAGGATATTTACATATAAATAAGATCTACATTGTACAACAGAGTGCAACACACACCTGTGTCAAATGATCTACTCTGCCAGCCAAGTAAAAACCTAACTACATGACCATCAAAACATGACTGTAAAGAATGAACTATAGCAAGAGTAGACCACAAACTGACCCAATTGACTAACTACTAGAAATACATATTTCTGTTTACCAACTTTTTCATGTTATATCCTTCCCTACCAAACATATCAGATTCAAAAGTCCGATTTCATAAGCTTCATTCCAGGCCTTATTGTGACATCGTCAAAGGGTATCACTTGCTCTACATGAAGGTAATCTCTTGTTTTAAGAACCTGCAATAAACACACACAGAGACACAGCTGCTGATTTAAGTTCCATTTGCACTAAACAAGGGGAAAAGATAGCAACGAGAATGAAAAATTATAGCAGGCGTTACACATACCAAAGTTTCAAAAAACATCCTTGATGCCTCCTTTCGTGTTTTACCAACTAATAAACTTTCCATGGAGAGAGACGTTCTCCCCCGCTCAGATTCTTTAATAAACAAGGTTTGGAGGTACTTGGAAACAGCCCTGTGTATACAAACATCAATGTGGAACTCTGGGTGAACTTTTTGTTCATAAACAATAACATCATAAAGATCAGACAACAGTAGAATAAATAGCAGAGCCTGTCTATAGGTAAAACGAAAGGAGATTAAAGCCTTCGGACTAATATCCCTGTTGTAAACTTCGAGCAAGTATGTATCCCATTTTATCCATTTTATCATTTGAAGTTTTAAAAAAATTTAACCTAACTTTCTTAATAAATTCTGGGCTTACACTATGGAACTCATCTACCAACCCTCTTATACCATCCATTCTCACGGTAGGAGGGAAATAAGTTTCTTTAGACAGCCGTACCTTACTCCAACCACAAACTACTTTCTTGGAGAAGATTCTTCGATTTATGTTAAAGTGCAGCAGTAAGTTGCTGTATTCAGTAGGTATGATCCTTTCAATTTTCAAACGGAACGATTTTCTATTTTTCTTCGCTTATCTATCCTGCAGTTAACCACTCTTTCCAGTCTAAAGCATCAAGGATGCATTTTACACCAACGAAGTTTCTTTTATTGCTGTATTCATATCTTCATCTTCTTCAACTTATGTATTATAATAAAAATAAACTCCAGCAGTTCAAATATGATTTTTAAAAAAATATACTTTTTAAAATGTAATAATTGTATTTATAAACAGCACAAAGTTTGCGATGGAATTACAGTATAGTGAGCAAAACACCAAAAAGCTAAGTTGCATGGACTCTTCACTTTTGATGCTGCACCCGTGTCGGATTCTCCAAAAGTACACTAATTTTGGAGAATCTGACATGCACCCGCTGATATTTTTAAAGAGTCTGAGCAACATAGCCAAAGTATGGCCCTCTTCTAATCCTAGAGAGCCTCTACGAGTTCTAGCAATGCCTCAGCCTCTACGATAAAAATTGACTGTAGAAATCCCTTTTCAACATGACAGCGTTGTTTGTTGTAGACAAAGGGTGGGTGTAACTAAAAAGAATGATGGGCCATTTTGGACCATCTGAAGGACATTATACCTCGAAAGTAAGAATTGAGAAATGAATTAGCTCGACTAGACGAGATGGTTGCTCAAGTGGTAAGCACCCTCCATCTCCAACCTTGAGGTTGTGGGTTCGAGTCACCAAAGGAGCAAGGTGGTAGCTCCAGGGGAGGAAGAAAAGAAAATTAGCTTGACTAGAGGAGACCCCTCCTAGCTCTTAATTTGTTTTTTAGGCACCATTTCCACAGGTTAAAGAACATATGGTTAACCAGATGGAAAACTACTGCTTCAGTTCCTATATTCAGCCTAAGTCGGACCTTTTCCTTCTGCTACTTGTCAGTCCAAAGATTAGGACTTGGTTTTTGAACTGATGGGATTTCCCAAACGGTAATGAAGCTTGCCATTCTGTTTAGTTGGCTGAATCCGACCCTGGGCCTGCCCTTTTGCTATCTTTTTCATTATGCTGGTTCGATTTCAACCACTGTTCATGAGACCACACTTTAACAACGGACTATCTTAATATGCAAAAGCTGTTGGTCAGCAGAAAAGATTATCTGAACCTCTCTGTAGGCACTAAAAGAAGAGGAGTAGCTGAATCAGAGAAGGAAGGCAAGTAAATGTCTATAGTTGTCAGGAAAAAGAAAAGACGAGATGCACAATTTAAACATAAAAGAACAATCACAGAATTTGGTCAAAGTATATAGCGAGAAGCAGGAATCTAAAGAGGTCCTTCCAGAAACATATTTCTATTGTGAAATTTGAGCTTAGTCTGTTACTCTGATAATTTTGTACTTTTACCCTCGTTAGATTAAATGACAGAAACCAATGTATGAACCACCCCATAAAACACTGAACCACAGGAAAAAAGCAGACAGGCGAGGGCAAACTTGTCTAAAAATGACACGCAGCTTGCGCAGCCCTAGACTTATAATAGCAGAATAATAGGAAATGAAGGACAAGTTGCACACCTAGTACGAGAGGACCATCCAATGTTCTCAGTGATACGGGGGACATCAGCAGCAGGTACATAATCATCAGCTGCTTCAGCTTCTTCATCATCATCGTCATCGAAGTTCAGAAACCCTAGATACCAAAAATAATGTTACACCAAAGCTACAAGACCTTAGAGAAAACTTACAAAAACATCCAAAGAAACTACATTACCAACGTTGCCACATAGCTGAAATGGTTTGACCATTTTGTAATAGAGGTAATAGTAATCTTAGATGAAATATGGAGTTAAATCTCTCATATCCCACAAATACGATACACTGTATATTGCTCTTATAAAAGTTTTCCGGGCCAAGACACTGGTCTTCACACATTTTCTCAAACTCTTCAACTTGTGTCTGATTTCCTCACACATCAAATCAGACAGGTACAAAGAGAAAGGTCACAATTCACAACATTTGTCCATGATTATTTTGAGGAGAGACCTTGCGAAACCATTTTACAACAAATAACATCAAATTGAATGCAAATTTTGCAAGCCATTATCAAATTTAATCAACATCGGAAAATTCAGATGCAAGGTTCTGAAACAAGGACAGATAATCCATCTTAATCAAACATGCCTAATGTTACTGCAAATTTGAAAATATTCTCATCCCATTCAACTTTGAAATTATTTGTTTTTTCTTTCTTTTGAGGCAATTGGAAGTTTTCAAGTTTTGGTTGCAGATGAAGGAAAACAAACCTGTATCATTTCCAGCGGCTGAATAATCTAGATCCTGCCAAAAAAAAACAAATGAGGAAAGCACAAATCAGCAGAGCACATATCAAAGTAAATCTCTCATTAAGGCAAAGAAAAGGACCGTCATTTCAAGCCCATTTTAACAAAAGCAATCAGCTGATAAAGAATCTAGTAGTTTGGGGGAACAGAATAGTGCAAGACAGAAGGTAACCTCCAGTGTACATGTTCATCTACATGAAATCAAGATTTGTGCTCGTACTTATTGCTACTTGCTAGAATTTTTTAGATAAAGATTATCCAATCAGGTCTTACTACGTTGAGATCTGACACTATTGGTAACAATCTAGAGGTAATTTTTTTCTTTTCTTTCTTCCCCTTTCTCTGAGTTCCAAAGAACCACCCATACTGAACAAAGAGCAACATAGAGGTCAAGAAGCAACAAGGAAGCAACCTTGTCAAGACCAGGAGAAGATATATGTACTTCAACTTTGATAAAAGAGAGGTACTTAATTATTGACAAAGCAATTGTCTGCAATTTCTATCCAACACATCATAAAAAGAAAAATAAGATTGTCATGTATAATACATGAAAGAGAGAGAGAGAGAGTACTGAAACTCCAGAAGACCAGCACTCGAAACTAAGCTAAGCTAGCACACTTACATTTAGGTCCCCCAGATTGCCATCCGTGAGATCTGCGCCCATCATATTGTAAGAGAAATCTTCTTGTTTACATGGATAGTCTCCGGCTCCTATGGGATCATCCAGCAAATGCATATTTGTTTCATCATATGAAGCATCTGTGGTAGGTTGTTCAGTGCCTATAACGTTATCAGCAAAGCTCTGGTTGAAATCATCAGCTACTATATCTTCTACATTAGTTGCAATTTCAACTGTAGCACTGTCTTGGGCAGCCTCCAATAGATCTGCATCTTCTACCATATTTTCAATTCCAGTTTCAGCTTCAGAAATAAAGTAGTTACTTTCTGGCCAGTCACTACTAACTACAAGGTTTTCATCGTTCAAGTTTTCCCGAGACTTATCAGCTTGAGCAGCCGGTGCACGATTGGGAGATCCATATGATACTTCGGGTAAAATAAAAGCAGCTTCCCTTCCAGACTCATTAAATAGATCTGTCAGAGGTAGACCTGCTATGATATCACCATCGCCACCTAATCCACCACTTTTAGAACATGCCAATAATTCTTTGGCGGCAGAGGCAGTATCTGCTGCATCAGCACCAGAAAGGT